ACACACACACACACACACACACACACACACACACACACACACACACAGAGAGAGAGAGAGAGAGAGAGAAAGATGAGTCTTGTAGAATATTCAGTTCATAAATTAGATTTATTTTGATACAGTTTGTAGTATACTCATTCCAAATGTTTAAATCATTTCAGAAATGAAATTAAATGATTTTCTGGAAACCAAAATCTGTCTTGAGGAAAGAACTGCACGCCTGAAGCACCATGGTTGTGTATCGTTTCCATTATGTACAATTACATAAACTCTTATTTTTGCTTACAGTAAGTTATACTGTACATAAATATGCCACACATATCCCTCTTTGCATTTCAATCTGCATATGTTTTCCTCTCACCATGCACAGGTTTCTTAAACCTGAAGCACAGGCACTGAATTTGTCCGTGTTTTGAAAAAACAAATAAAAAATAAACCTGCTAGATTGTGACGCACATGTTCAGCCCGGTTCTTTCTACCGTTTTGGCAAATGTCCAACAACCAAGAAAAATGTTTTTGTTTGTTTTCATCTAAAATATTTTCATAGAAAAAGATGAACAGCTCATTTGACAGACATTTCAAGAATAAGCAATACAATAATTTTTTACATTGACCCATGCACATTATAGCAAAGACGTTTCTTTTTTATTCTAGTCGGGCTTTAAAGCCTTTAAGTTTCTTTGTCAAAGTTATTTTATTGTTCAACCTCACTGATAGTGTTAAGGATAGTCTCAGCGCTGACTCTTAGTTCAACAACTCAAGGGGTTTGTGAGTGATCATGTACAGTAACAGCAGAGCTGAAAAACAATGAAGGCAGACAAGGTGCTTTGTTGGTCTGACAAACAGCCGAGTGCGGTTTTTTTGTGCGACACTCAAGAACCATACTGACGGCCTTGAAAGAACAAACGTTAAAGAAACTGTATGAAGTAAACTCCTCCGTGTGTTTGGTTTGAATTTTCTGCTCTGATTTACGGTTGCAAAAAACTTGTCTTTGGCAAATGTGATTAACTGATAGTCTTACGTGTTTACATTCTGATGTAAAAAAAACAACAAAAAACCTTTTCAAAGGAGGCTGGAGAATAACTGTTGTGCTGTTCTTTAAAAGGTGCTATGTGTAACAATGAAAACCAGTATGGCGATGAAAACGACTGTAAGCTGCGATAGCTTGGTTATCATCATCAGCATACATACATACATAGGGTAAAGACTGAGGCAATAACTAGTCGCTATTTAAAGGAGAAGTGTGTAGAATTTAGTGACGAGGTTGCAGATTTCAATCAACTTGACACCCCTCCGCTCACCCCTGCCTTTTCCAAGCCCGTCAGCGGACTACGGTGGCCTTTAGGTAATGTAAAAAGGTGAAAAGCTCTCTCTAGAGCCGGTGTTTGGTTTGTCCATTCTGAGGAGGCGGCAACCTCCGGTTCTGAAAAGTGAAGCCAATGAGGGAGTGACTTAAACCTGCATTCTCTCTAAAGGCCAGCAGGGGGCCACTCCTCTGGTTGCAAAAAGAAGTCTATGATAAAACGACTACTTCTCACTTGATGTATTACTTATTACAGACTAATGAAACGATAGTTATGAATATAATGTTCCGTTTCTGCCAACAGATGCCCCTAAATCCTACACACTGCTCCTTTAACGCCCATGGTGCTGTATTATTAGTCGTGTTTCCCAAATGCACGCCAGTATGTCACGTAAACTCCGTCACGGATAATGCGGCTAAATGTCCTCACGCTCCATTCTCTTCACTGAAAAGGACAAACCTGTCTGAATTCATTTTTTTCTCCTGCCATTTCTTACCATCTATCATCTGCCATCGCCAGAAACAATCGAGCACACATCTGAACAAATATGAGCCGCAAAAAGGAAACTGCTTAGAATGCAGCGAGAGAAGCAAAGTGAAAATGATACACATAGCACCTTGAATCTACATTCTCCTGTCTCTCACTCACTCATTCACTCATACGTGTGTGTGTGTGTATATGCGCACACACACACACACACACACACACACACACACACACACACACACACTTGACATCAACTAGTCAGTGCTGAGCGCAGTTTAGCATGCAATAATCCTGCTGATTTCCTGCTAGTTACTGTAGAAAACTCCTTCATTCAGTTAATATCTCGGGCACCTGATCGTGACGGACGATAAACTTAGAACAGCTCATGTTCAGTAACACTCTTTTCTCCCGACATCCTTCATTAAAGGGAAGGATTTTTAAAACAGGAAACTCAAATAATTTGTATGCAAAACGGTCATTCCTCTCACGTAAGACAAATGAGTGTACAGTGAAGTCTTTCCCTTTTCTCTCCTCCACCCACTCACAGATAAGGTATGAGAAGTAGTACAGGCATGTACCAAAAAAAAACCCAAAAAAACAATACAAAGCAAAACAGACATTTAGGGAAAAAAATGCTTTTGCTAGTCACATTACAGCAGTTCCTCGTAGAAGAGCAGGTATGCCTGAGAGTTGAGTACCCTTGACTCTGGTACTGTCTGAACGGTGGTATCACTGATGTACACCCACTGGCCCTGGAAGCTGCTCCCGGCTTCCCTCGCACCTGAAACGCACACAAACACACACAGTGTGTCAATATTGTAGGGCACAGAGACACATTAGAGAAATACACGGGGTATGTCAAACCAGGGGTTCCCTTAACCCCCGGGCCGTGGACCTGCAACGGGTGCAAAGCATTTGCTGCGAAGCGCAACGGCGTAACCGCAAATAAATATATGAAAAAAATAATAATAATAATATACATCATAGGCTATTTGTGCTGTATATGCATTAAACTTAGCAAGGTCTGTCTGCTTTCCTCTCACCAGCCGTGCACGCAACACGGTCATCATTGTCATAATCACCCACCGCCACACCGCACAAATTGGATCGGACCGAGCCGCTAGGGCTGTATAGAATGTCATTTTTTACATTTAAAGCTACCTACTGAGGTTTTTGAATGAAGTGTTGAATGTGTGTTAATACAGGTGCTTGTCCCCTTCTGTTTGCACCGCTGCAAGCAGGACAGCTACAAAAATATGGGACCCATTGACACTAACAAACGCTAACAAATATGGATTGAAGCAGAATATTTCGTGAGATAAAATCATGTTGTGAATTATGGAAATGATTGTGTGTGTTTGAGAGAGATTAAGGGAGAAAGAGAGAGAGAGAAGGTGGACTGTCACTGATGTGCGCTCGTGTCCATATAGATGAACAACTCTGAACTGACTCAAAATCTGATCTTGCAGAAAAATGATGTTGGTCATTACTACAACTCGCAAAAGTTTTGTGAAATCGCTTTGATAATTTTTGCTCTTAATGAACATGAATAAGCTACGATTGATGCAATTTGCTGGCTGGTTTTACTTCATCTCTTTTATGTGAATTCTTTATCGGCCGATTACTCGGCTGTTGGCTTTTTCCTGCTCCAAACTACCGTTATTACATCGGCCCTGAGAGGAACAGAGAGAGAGAAAACAACATGGATCTATAGAGCACAAAGACATCTATTCACCTTGCCCTTTGTAGAGGACATGTTCACGGTCACAAGGGGAAAGGCCTTTGCTGCAAAATGCTGACCTCTTTCATGGACAGCACACAAACACACCGACACAGAAAATAGGCAAACGGTCTTAAAGGAGATCAAGAGAGTCAAACCCTGACCTGACTGGTTCCTGTGGTGCTGTTCCGTTTTCCTCTGGGGAGAGCGCACTTTTACATACGCAGTGTAGTGGCCCCCCCGCATTGAGCCACTATGTTCAACAATCCCATACAGGCTGTAGAGGACACGCTCACCAGCTGCCAGGTTCTAGTAAAACAAAGGAGGAAGGTTAGCAAAAAGGGGAAAAAGAAATAAAAAAAAAAAAAGAAATGTTTGAGATTGAGGTCAACCACGGACATTCATTAACGGACCACTAGAAACAATAGTACAGAAATGGTAAAGTAGTGGTAAATGAGAGAGTTCAAAAAGCTAGAAGAGAAGTACACAGAGTATATTTTACCTTGCAGGATGCCGAGCAGAATGGAGCCAGATCCAGGATCAGGGGAAAGTCAACATGGCGGTTCACTTTTCGTAAGTTCATCCCTGCCTTGAAATACAAAAACAGAGCAGCGCTTGAACATTTAGGCATGTAGAACGAACACAAGCCGCAGTTTGTCAATGTTTTGGTTCAAAACTGGAATCACCGCCTTGCGGTAAGTTGCAATTCATATCCATGTCTGTCCAAAATGTCATCACTTCATCAGTTTATACTACTGGACATTTCTTTGACATCGACATAATCAGCATATGAACTCTATAGTTATGGAGAAAAAAAGAAACATGTTTTGTGAGGTCACAGGGATCTTTGACAACCAAATTCTCATCAGTTCATCCTTGAGTCCAAGAGGGCGAGAGAAATATGGCGTTCATATGGTACGGACGGACTGACAACTCAAAATGTAATGCTGAAGACATAAAAAACACACACCACTGCATCAAATACAATATTTGACTATATGCGCGATAAAATGAAGGGCAAGAAAAAGGCAGCGTGTGGCTGCTCACCTGATGGAAGCGTTTCAGATGCAATGTGATGACGGGAGGCAGCGAGGAGATCAGAATTTGCTTCCTAGCACTGGTGTAAATCTTCTCCAGCTTCTTGTCTAACACAAAACACACAGAAAATGTCAGGTTTAACTGTGAAAAACTTAATTCTGTTTTGTTCAAACTAACAAAGTCGTGAATCTCTGGAAAAAGAGATTTGAGGGATTAAGGCACACACTGAAAATAGCAAGTCTTCATTACAGGATCATACGAACAACTGGAGCCAAGGACAAACTGGCAATTGCAAAAAAAACAAAAGTGGGATTGTAGCCCTTCATTTTGACACTACTAAGAATTGGCTCTTGCTCTGATGTGTGCAAACACACGCTGCTAATGATGAACTCAACATCATCTGTATTGTGGCAGGAATATGAGTGTTTGGAACATTATGAGCACACAGTCAGAGAGCAAAGAAGTGAACTACACCGCCCCCAGGAGTGGATTGAGAAGTTTCTATGGACGTTTTAATATATTTATTTTCCAGAGCAGGATCTGGTCATTGTTGGAATCTATTGTAACTGGTAAGAACTCAAGCTGTGTGTATCCATGGAAGATGAAACTAACAATCAAGACTGCAGGGGATGAGTTTGATATTCTAAAGACGGGTTTTGTGAGAGGACTATCGCTTTAAGGGTTTCCTATGGACAACCTGTGATGTATATGATCACATGTACAATAACCTGACAATAATCAAGAATCATTTTGCAATGAAATTGCACCATATCAACTGATCGCAGGTAGGCAATTTACAGCCCGGTTGCTCATCCTCAAAGCTCTTTGTTGTTCCAGATGTTTTGTCTTACCGGCTGAGCTGCTCTTGCGCAGCTGTTTCTGTTTGCGCTCAGTGCAGCTCTCACACAGCAGCTTGTTGTTGCCCATCAGCAGTTCCACAGAGGTGAACTGGTGCAGGCAGGACTGGATGGAGCACTCCTTGGAGCTGGGTGTGTAACTGTGGGACAGCGCCTGGAAGGCCCCCTGGTGGTGTTGATGGTGGAGGTTGTCCCGGCACTGCGTGTCTCCCGCCTCCTCTGGAGAGCAGTGCGTCGAAGGAGAGCACTCCCCCGAAGTGAACCCGATGTTGACTTTGGACACTGCGGTAACGAGCTGCTCCACGGCACCGCCTTGTCTCGTGGTGGAGGACGGGGAGGTGGCGGAGACGGCCGTGGGGGACGGAGTGAGGGTGGAGGTGGAGGACGGGGTGGACATGTGCCCGTGGCTGTGGCTGGAGGAGAAGGTGCGTGGGGCCCACTCGCTCTCCGAGGCCTCGCTGTCGGCGTCATTACTGCTGTCCTGAGCAGCCGAGTCTCTTTCGCTGCCGTCCGAGAGGCTGCCGGCAGCGGCCATCTTGCAGACGGACACACCGCGGGCTGATCCGGCGGCCACCCCGTCCTCCTCTGGCCGCTCCGCACTGCAGCCTGCTCCCTTCTCCTCCAGAGAGCTCGAAGACCTCCGGCTCTGCTGCTTCTTGAGGAGAGAACAACAGATACAGTACATTAGCCTCTGTCAGAGATGCAGACTCTTTGTGTTTTTTACTTGTCCGTTTTAACGTTTGAAAAGGATCTTGATTAGTTTCCAATAAAAGTTTATGGACATCTGCCGACATAACAGTTTGCACTGCTCAAATGTGAAATAAAGCATTTACATTACCAGTAAAGGTATGCAAAAGATTCCACTGAAATGAGATAACTTCTCTCTCGTGCACAATATGACACAGCAAGACATCTTGGTGACTTTCTTTAATGAATATAAGATAAATATGAGATAAAAGCATGTTGTGAAAATTATTATATGTTTCGTTTTTCAATCAATTTTGACTTTGGGACTCACAAATGCTCTGGAGTCATTGGAAAAGTTGTGGCCTAAACTTCATCTGCAACTGTGCAGAAATACCCCGTTTAAACACAATGAATGGACATTGGAGAAAAAAAAAAAAAAAAAGGTGCGCAGCATTGGAATGTTGATTTAGAAGATGAATGTCAGCGTTACGAATGAAGCGTCAAACTATTCGGCCCTACGTATCCCTACCTGTCCACTCAGCTTCCTCGTGTTTCTGTTGACAGAGTGCGCTGCGGCAAGGACCTGGTCGTTGTTATGAGCCATGTGGGTGTCCTGCTCCCGGCTGCCCTTCCCCAGCCTACCAGGGTTGGAGGGTTTTGATATCTGAGTACGACATAGAGAGCATCTTCAGTTCTGGAGCCATCAGCAACACTTAAACCTGCCAAACGCAAAAACAATCTAGCCGTCTGTCAAATAACTGTGGCATTTTATCTTTCCTTCTCATTAACTTAGGTATAGTGTCTGTAGGAGAGTGATAATTATCATCCTTTGATAATATTTGCACAGATTGTAGCAGCTCACCCTCTCCTCTATGATGGGTAAAGAGATGTCTATGAAAGCCTCCTTCACTGTGGAGATCTGCAAGACAAATCACATGGAAGTCAGTGTCAGCACGCACACGCACACGCACGCACACGCACACGCGCACACACACACACACACACACACACACATATATTCATCATCTTTCTAAATAGTCAGAATCATAGCCAGTTGTTGACAGTCAACCTCTGCTGCAGATTTTCTATAAGTCTGCGTGAAGCTCTGGGAAGCGGCTATTTTTCAGCTTTTTCCTCTCCAGCTCCACACCTGCTTTCTACCTTCAAGGATGTTCATGAATTTTCATAGTGGCGTCTGCTTTGTTAACAACTCTGAGCTCCCTTGTGTTGTTGTAAACGCCTGCCGCAAACAGTTGGTGTTTGAGCGGGTCCTTGAAGGGCTTTTTGTTTTTCCTGCCGGGTTCTGTTTTTTTCTCTGACTTATTTTTCAGCACATCCTTTGCTTGTGGGTATCATAGTCAAAAATGTCCCCTGGATGTAACAGCTAGAAGAGAAATGGCAACTCAATACTGGTTAGCTACACCTCAGGTCAGTGACAAATACCTGTCAATTCATAGTTAATGGAGAATGCCAGCGTTGCTGGAAATTGTATGGCAATCTATCGTGCTTCCCGCAGCAAAATAAAATGAAACATAAAGAAAAGCGGGCACGGTTACACGTTTTCTATATTAAAAAGCAATTACTGCCTGAAGCCGAAGAACGTGTGATCTGGTGGACTCTGTGCTCCTATGTGTTGCATTGAGGTCATCACACTGAGCCGTGCCTGTTCACCCCCGTGCATACTTACATGCTCGCACTCTTCACACATTATTGTGTTGGTCAGCTCGCCCACAAAAATGCGGTCAACGAAGTTCATCTTCACACCTTCCTTTCCGTATGCTGGTGGGACAGAGAAGACATTGTTTTTAATCGAATAATGCTACGAATAATCTGTCAATTCACTCCACTAAACCTCTGTGGTCACGAAATTACGATGACATACATGACAGGCGGCACACACAGACCATAAAATCAGGAGATAAGAGTCATCTGCTTTAAGAAGCTGGTTAGTTTAAAGTGTTGACAGTAGAAATGTATAGGTAGCAGTGAAGCTTTATCTAACTGTGCTCTGTCCTCCATCAAACCAGTCCTTTGCCTGATAACTAACTGAGCTGTAGTTCCTTTAACTGCCACAAGATGGGACTGTTGATCTGGGCCAGCTACCCACTACAGCGGGATCACAAACCTTTGACTTGGCGTTTGGTCTCCTCATCTGCTGTCTTTTCTGTGGGATTGTTGTAAGCCTTCAGAATTCCTGCTTTCACCCTCTAGACACAACAAATACAAAAACAAATATGATGACGCAGGCTTAAAATGATGCCGAATAAATACATTCATTAAAATACAAATTCAACCTTTTTTTTTTTTTTTTTTCACGAATTCCCTCCATTACATCCATTAGTGAAACATCAAAATCCAGCCCACAGCTCAGTTTGACAGGTACACCTCTTATAAGCGTCATTAGTGTAAAATAATTATTGTGCTTGTCGAAAAACGTTACCATGTGAATCTCTTAATTAACAGTGCATGTTTGTGTGTGTCTATGAGCTCTTCACGGGGCCCTCTTATTGGAGGTGACGTGGTCAGTGAGTGTGTCTGTGACAGAGCTGTGAAGAGGCACAGCCACAGTAAAGCACCAATCAATAGATAATTGGCCGCGGTCTATGTCTGCGGTCGAGACCAGTCAGCCCCCCATTGTCCCGGGACCCACACACTGGACTGGCTATTTAGGTCAAAAAAGTCCTGTTAATCCCAGCCTAGCCAGCGTGCACCCGACTCAGTCAGCAGTCAAACCAGGCTGAGCCTCTCCTAGTAATTAATTACCAGTAACCCCATACCCTCCCTCTCCCCCTTCCCCGAAGTAACAGCGTGCACTGTCCCACACAGGATGGGCCGAGGGAGGGGGTTCGGGGGAGGGGGGTTGGAGAGGGTTGCTGGTACAAGGACGCAGGGGTGGAAACTAAAACGAAGACAGGGCGAAGAAGGACAGTCCATGCCCTGAGAGAGTAATAACTGCCGTCTCAGCTAATTGGTGATAATTGACTGGAGCCAAATTAGCATATTTAGATCTCTGATACTAATGGCCAATCAACACAAACACTTAGGGGCTCTAAAAGGTTGGTGACACCCACTGCTAAAAATACCAGTCTCGCTCTGTGACACACGGCTCACAGGATAGTGTGTGTGTGCTATTTGAACGGAATTTAAGTGTTACTCAAATGTGCCTCTTCAAAATGAATAGGTGTACTCAGGTTCACTTGGTATAGATTCATCGCTGTCAGCTTAGAAAAATTGTTTGTGTCATGTTTGTCCGGTGTTTGAAGAAGCTATATGAACAAACACCTTATAATAGGTATGATCTTTATTAGAAAAGTTAGTAACGAGTTTAATGTTTGCGTTCATTTTAAAAATCCTTCAACAATGTCGGCTAAAATGCCACAGTATCTCTGAATGTGGCTGGCTGTATAAATGAGTTTCTGAGTGAATGAATAGAGGAGGCTGTACCCCCCCCCCCCCCTCCCTCTTTACTTCCTTGATTGGATTGGGAGATGGGCTGATGAGTGTGTGTGTGTGTGTGTGTGTAGGAGGGGGGCTGTGGATGACCCCCAGCACAATGGGACAGCCCCGGAGCTCATTCAGCAGCTGTGGGTTTCCCAAGATCACACAATGATGCCGGTCGTGCCACTTGCAAGGCCCCTAAGTGGCACAACTGTCAGTGTTCACAAGTTTGAATGGGAGCAGGGGAGCCCAGCCTGCGGCCCCTCCTGGGTCTGGGGCTGACCACTAAACACACCCGCTAACTTCTCCTCCTTGGTTCACATAGCCACTGGTGGGGCCACAGGGGCCAGCTCAGCCCTTAAAAGGGCTGCTGTGGGGCCTCCTAATTGCCCTGTGAAGGGAGTTTGTACTTGCCAAAAAACATGGCACCATCAGGTTGAAACAAAACAAAAATGACTGGCCAAGCAAAAAACAGATATTGGGTTGTGAGCAGTGAGAGCTTACACTGCCACCCACACCGCTGGATGTCTTACATTATGACTACACGAGTCTAGCATGGCTTTTCAAAACAAACAAATTATAGATAATTCTGTTATTGGTGCTACTCTCAACTCATTTTAGGCATTAGCATGAATTATATAAGTGAACTACCATCATTGTTGCTTCCATCAATTGTTGAATGTAGTCCATAAAACACAACGCAGCTAATTAGGCAAACATTTGAAGATGACAAAATAAAAATAAAAACTAAATACAAATAGCCACATCAAATAGAAGAAAACAAATTAATGTTGTACAGCCATGCTAGCAGCTCTGAGGGCTGTACTTGGGCACTGTGGTGCTTTGAGCTAAATGCTAACATTTTCACCGTTACAGTGCTAACACGGTGATGTTCAGCAGGTGTAATGTTACCATGTTCACCATCTTAGTTTTAATGTTAGCCGCATGCTAAAATGTAATGAATTTATAATTAGCACAAAACACAAAGTAGGCAATGATGGGTTTGTTAGCAATAGCTCTGTAACTCTGTACAGATTTAAAGGACCTTTCTGTAACGAAGAGTAAAACTTAAAGCAAACTTTGAAAAAAGAAAAAAAAAAAAAAAAAAGAAAAAAAAAAGGAAATAGATCAACAGCACTTATATTCAGGACTTGGTCATCACAGGAGTATGTGTGTGTATGTAAGCTCACTTTAGTTTCCTCTACTCGTATGGAGTCCAGTAGGTAGTGCAGAAGCTCCTGGCTGTCTTGTTGTTGGTAGCCCTTGAAGCGCGGCGCTCTGGGAAAAAACAAAATAAAAACACAGATGAAAGTCAAATTAATTGCCAGTGTTTAAAACAATTATTTCATTTAAATATTAGATCTTGTCCACAAGCATTTTTTTCTGTATTTCTATAATTCAAAATTATTCCACAGACTTTCAATCATATCGTATGCAGGCAGGAAGTCTTAAAAGGCAGACAATGCTCTAAAATGAATAGCCAATTGACACAATCTTTGTTCCATTGGGTTGAATACAGAGGTCCATTATGGGCCAAAAGTGCTCCGCACAGGACAAAGATAATAATAATAATAACAACAACAACCGGTAGTCACAGCACAGCTCTACCATGCTGGCCGTCAACTTATCGTGACCTTTCGCTGAGCGCATTAATGCCATATTGTTGGTGGGTATTCATCCTGGACATTCATGCCGGAGTGGTTAGAGGAGAGGCTCTCCTTGGGCCCGTCCCCTGGCCGTCCGCAGTGAAGCAGATGTGAGGACAGATGCCAGGGGCAGCTGGGCAGCCAGGGCCGGAGCCAATGCAACCTGTTGGGCCGAGCCAGCCACATAACCACAGGACAGGTTGGTCCGACACACACGGAGAGGCCACATCGCTGGTTTGAGAAGCCATCAGTCAAATGTTTAGGATGTTCGGAGGGTGGTGGGTTAACTTCCTTTAATGGTATTGTATCGATTACACCAGTAGTCCTCGGGTTCTTATACAGTAGTGTGGCATTAATAGATCTGCTGTCACTGTGACCCACCAGATACATACCAGTCTTTATTAATAATTATACACAATATTGTGCCATTTGTGTTTGTTTATTTATTATCCTGGTGTAGACACAATCTGGCGACAGTGTTTTGTATCCAATTATTAATGCCATTCATAATCCTACTTATTGGAATAATTCACTGAATATTAATCATCCCTCTAAGACACGCTGACATGTGGCCCAAGATGGGATGTCCGTGGTTGGGGGAGAGATGGCCAACCACCTGCCCTCAACACAGGTCATAACCAGGAGGTCTGGAGGAGCCTCGAGTCCCCCACCCTCACATAAAGACACGATATCTGTCTCTTATGCCCTTTCCGTGCAGACACATGGGCAAGGGTGGGTGGAGGGGTGAGGATGGTACAAAGCCCATATGTCACTTATGCACCATCCCTAAAAGTGAACAGCATGTGAAGGAATGCTCGCCTGTCGTTCCACTGACTAGTCTGACGATCTCCCGAGAGAGAGAGACACAGAGAGGGGAATACATGGCAAAAGAGAGAAGGAAATGAGTGAGATGGAAAAAGAGAGACAGACAGACAGACAGACAGACAGACAGACAGACAGACAGACAGAGGCAGAGGAAGTAGAGAGAAAAAAACGAAAAGGTTGGTTGGGATCAGTGGGAATGAGGAGGTCTGGAAGCTCATCCCAGTGGAGAGAAGCAGAAGGGCCCTGTAGCGCTGCTCTCAATCTGGCCAAAGCAAACAGCTGCGGTGCGAACACAATTAATAGCCGGATGAGTTAGTACCAGACACAAGGCCACACAAGCTCCCCGCCCCCAAACACACACACGTACTTTCTGAGCGACACAATGCACCCGCACACAGCTCACATTGTACATTCATCCAGCATTTGCTCACACATAGGCATAAACTAAATGTATCTATGTCTCAATGACTTCCAATATGTTCATGAAAAACATAGAGCTCTGTGCAAAAGAAAGCCATACACATATCTGAACTGGGCTTTGTGCCGTCCATTCTACATTTATTCTATTGATTTGACTGACTGTATCCTTAACAACAATAAAACTCCCACATCTCACCCAGGAAACTACGTTTGAATATTTTTTTCTCTTCTTAAATCAGTAAACCACACAGCCTCTATTGAATTCTGGTCTCTTTAGTTTCCTTTTTTTCCAATCAATCCACGACGGTTTTGCAAGATTGAGAGACGCTAACAAAATCCATACCTGCCGCAGGTGACGTTACATGGTCAGCTTCTCTGAAAACAATGTATTTATCAACTTGTGCTTATTTGCGCAGGTTTAATTATTCCTATTATAGACATAGAGGAGTCATCAACAATCCTTGTTTTAACATTCACTGGTAGACCAAAGTTAATGGATTCTTATCATCAGGGGCCAGTATTGAAAAATCCTGTCATTTAGAGCCAAATGATCCGGAGAGTTGAATCTCCCTTTTCTTAGTCAAGGATCAAAATGATCTCACCGCCTTTGTCCGAGTAATTCAAAACATTGGCAGGTTGGATCCAGGTTGGATCATGGTGATCCCAATATGACCAGCTAAAGGATTTCCAAAACTCGACTCCCAGCCCCTGGTCTGAACAGAAGGAAAAACATAGTTGGACCATTTCACAAAAGGAGCGAGTGGTAGTACAGATATAGTGTCCAAATTGTATAATATTTAGCATTTGTAAGACTAGACTTGAGTTTCCACCTACTTTTAGCAATCGCTAATTAAGCGTAGGTTATGCTAACAGGAGCTAACTGGGCAGTTGACTTCTATGTAAAGTAGTTAACGCGCTAGCAAGCTAGATGGCTTTGTTGATGAAAACTGTGAGATCCTTTTGAAATACCGGCCCCAGACTGTTAAGTTAGAATCCCTGGACTGTGGTTTCTCGCCTCAGCATATGTGCGCACACAACAATATTTGTATTACTTTTATCAATATCTGCCTCTTTTCTTCAACCTGAAAGAGGTCTTCCTCCTGAGCAGACCAGTATGCTAGCCCTGCCTCTTTGTGTTTGCACTGCGTGTACATCAATGTGGATGTGTGTGTCCTGCATGCCAGAGCACTAGATGGAATCTATTGTTGTCCTCTGCTATGTCTATCAGGGATGTGAGGCTTCTCATAAAGTCTCATCATGGATGGAGCAGACAGCTAGCATACCTTTCATTTTTTTTTGCAATAGAAGAAAGTGTCCAGTGGCCGTCCTGAAAATTGAATCAGTCCTTGAAAGAAGCAGGTGTAGATGAATGTCTCTCTGTGGCCTTTTTTATTCATCGCATGCATTAGACATGCATAGAGAGGGCCTTACATTCTTAACAAATAGCAGCAGTAGACCGGCCTTATGAAAAACACTGTCCCTGACCTCAGACTCCAGGAGGTAAATCAATATTTGAATCAAAAGTTATTTTCCCCTGTCTTCACACCACCAACGAGCTTTGTAGTAAAACAAGGCCTTGGTACAAGCTGGGACCCTCTCTGGCACCAGATAGAGTGTGTGGTGCTGACCATCCAACCCACATAGCCTGGCACTGGTCCGAGCACAGACCAGACCCCTTTTGCTGGCAGGGGGAAGAGGCAGGCTGTGGGGTACTCAGCTGGTAGAGGTCAAATGCATGCGCGCACACACACACACACGCACACGCACACGCACACGCACACGCACACGCACATGCACATGTGCACACGACCAGAAACACACAGACACTCCAGGGCTGCCCCTGAAAGTCAATCAGTCAAATCAGCTGTCAGGGACTTTTTAATTTTTTTTCAGAGGCTATAGCTATGAAGAATGTTGTGCGCTAGTAAACAATTTAATCATGAACACATTGGTTGCATAGCTTTGAATGGTAAAAAATATTAAATTCAAAATGAAACTGTGACGAGAAACACATTTAACTACGTACATATTGAGCTGCCAGATATTTACAAAAACAAAAAGCAAGGTACAAATAGCCAAATCGTCATGTTAAACAGCCAATAAATGAAAAACTGGGCTCAATAGGGCTTCAGTTCTGCACATTAACGCTCAAACTGGCCCCTATCGTAGCCAGATATCCTTATTAATCTTCCCATCAACACCAACATACTGGGAAAGTCAGTGAAAGAGAAACGGACAAGCGCTCTCAGTGCCCACAGGCGAAGGGCATACCCAAACCTCTTGGAATGACAAAAGAAGATGATATATGCTATATTCACAGAGTGTAGCGAGCACAGAGGTCACTGAAATGGAGGACCATACAAACAGAAGCAGTCCTTGACCTCGTCCTTTCAGCTCAAAGCTGGAGACCTGACTGACTGTAGATGAGGTGCTGTGTGGAGGAGTTTATTAGAGAAGCATGCGAGTGTTCAGGCCAGTTCAGAATGCTACTGCAATCAGGTACACTTTGTGGATGTTGAAGGGAACAGCATTGAAGGGAATAAGGCCTTGAAAGTACAAGAAATCTCCAGTTCTTCCATATAAATAGGAATAAGCAGCTGAAATCATGATGACCATTACTTGATAAACCACAATTTCCTCACAATCGTTAAAACAACCAGGGCTGTACCGAATATTTCTCCAAACGTCATTCATAATGTTGACATTCAAATTCTAAATCAAGATCTTTTTTTTTGTACGTCTATGCATTCTGTTGAAACCGGTATTTCTGCACAGTTGCAGGTAAAGATTAGGCCACACTATTCACTGTATCCCTTATAGTCATTCTGCAGTGGTGCTGCTAAAATGACACACAATCAATCCTCTGCTCTCGTGCTTCACTGATGCCGGTGAGTGAATGGTTTTATACTATCTGTAGAATTAGAAACTTATAAATAATAAAACAAGAGTAAATATTTGGGATTTCTTTCCCCCCAAATATTATTTATTGCTAAGAACCAGGTTGTTCAGCACACAGCTCACCGTTCAGAACAGCAGCATAGCTGATCTGAATGAACCCTATTACGTTTACAGTATGGGGTTGGCTGCTCCATGATCCCTTACCTCGCCAATAGAGTGGAACAAGGTAGAATATCTTATCATACTACATGGTGCTGCAACTAGTGATTCTTTTTATTATCGATTAATCAGATCTTAATTTTTTAATTAACTGATTTTGCTTTGAAACCTCCAACTTCCCAATATTTGTTGTCGTTCGCTTCCCTTTTGTTATTAAGAAACAATGCAAGTGGATGTTAGGGCTTGCCTTCACTGTCATGGTGCAGATCCAGTTCTCAGCACGTGTCCCTTTGGAACAGGCCTAACAGCCCCGGGAAGTGCTGCTTGCAGCGTTGTCGCTCATCACTCGTTGACTCCAGGGAAGTGAAGAAGAGTTCAAAATATAAAGCAAGTGTATCCAGCAGCAAAAGTCAACTGCAAGTCAATTAGCCGCAGCCTGCCCGCTGCAGACGACGTGATTGACTCTGCTGCACAGAGCGCTGTTCGCGTGCTTTTTCAAAGCGTATCAAAAATGAACAAATTGCACCATATTCAACATATATTGGAGTCACCAGCAATACACCCGCCATGTGTCAAGTAGATCGGATGTACGGTTCCCGATGAACGCAAAGGACATACACAAATACTTACAGGCAGGGATTCCTTGTTTTATAGTTAGATGGACGTACAAAGCGTTCACATACTGGCCTCAATACAAGTCAGCTTGTGGTGTAAGTGTACCATATGGGTAATGGGTGCTGCTGAGGCTTAAAGGCATATTCAATCTCTATTTAAATGCATGTCAGTAGAATAGATTAGCCCTAGCTGGAATTTGACGCGTATGAATGCATAAAGGTGTGTGCAGCGCTTGCTGTCTGAATGCACAATTGCCTGCATGTGTGTTGCAGGCTGAGGTGGTACCAGGTGAGGTGGCTGCTCACACACACGCACACACACGCACACACACACACACACACACACACGCACGCACGCGCACGCACGCACACGCACACGCACACACACACACACCTTTCTGATGAAAGCTAGGTACCAGAATAACTGTCAAACCGACTCAGAGATGCACCCAGTCATCCAATGTCAAATGCTCTGGTCACCCACCTGCACTACTACTCAAATACACACACACAGAGATACACACACACACACACACACACACACACACACACACAGACACACACAC